CTAAACCTGGAATAATCACAGCCTGAGTATCTAATACTGGATTAATCACAGCCTGAGTATCTAAACCTGGAATAATCACAGCCTGAGTATCTAATACTGGATTAATCACAGCCTGAGTATCTAAACCTGGATTAATCACAGCCTGAGTATCTAAACCTGGATTAATCACAGTCTGAGTATCTAAACCTGGATTAATTACAGCCGGATAATCAAAAACCTGGATTAGTCACAGTCAGAGAATCTAAGCCTGGATTAATTATAGGCTGGGTATCTAAATCTGGATTAATCACAGCCCCAGTATCTAAACCTGGATTAATTATAGCCTGGGTATCTAAATCTGGATTAATTATAGCCTGGGTATCTAAATCTGGATTAAATACAGTCGGAGAATCTAAACCTGGATTAACCATAGCCTGAGCATCTAAATCTGGATTAAATACAGTCGGAGAATCTAAACCTGAATTAATCACAGCCTGAGTATCTAAACCTGGATTAATTACAGCCGGAGTATCTAAACCTGGATTAATTACAGCCGGATAATCAAAAACCTGGATTAGTCACAGTCAGAGAATCTAAGCCTGGATTAATTATAGGCTGGGTATCTAAATCTGGATTAATCACAGCCCCAGTATCTAAACCTGGATTAATTATAGCCTGGGTATCTAAATCTGGATTAATTACAGCCTGAGTATCTAAATCTGGATTAAATACAGTCGGAGAATCTAAACCTGGATTAACCATAGCCTGAGTATCTAAACCTGGATTAATCACAGCCTGAGTATCTAAACCTGGATTAATCATAGCCTGAGTATCTAAACCTGGAATAATCACAGCCTGAGTATCTAAACCTGGAATAATCACAGCCTGAGTATCTAAGCCTGGATTAATCACAGCCTGAGTATCTAAACCTGGAATAATCACAGCCTGAGTATCTAAACCTGGAATAATCACAGCCTGAGTATCTAATACTGGATTAATCACAGCCTGAGTATCTAAACCTGGAATAATCACAGCCTGAGTATCTAAACCTGGAATAATCACAGCCTGAGTATCTAATACTGGATTAATCACAGCCTGAGTATCTAAACCTGGAATAATCACAGCCTGAGTATCTAAACCTGGAATAATCACAGCCTGAGTATCTAAATCTGGATTAATCATAGCCTGAGTATCTAAACCTGGATTAATCACAGCCTGAGTATCTAAACCTGGATTAATCATAGCCTGAGTATCTAAACCTGGAATAATCACAGCCTGAGTATCTAAACCTGGAATAATCACAGCCTGAGTATCTAATACTGGATTAATCACAGCCTGAGTATCTAAACCTGGAATAATCACAGCCTGAGTATCTAATACTGGATTAATCACAGCCTGAGTATCTAAACCTGGAATAATCACAGCCTGAGTATCTAAACCTGGAATAATCACAGCCTGAGTATCTAATACTGGATTAATCACAGCCTGAGTATCTAAACCTGGAATAATCACAGCCTGAGTATCTAAACCTGGAATAATCACAGCCTGAGTATCTAAATCTGGATTAATCATAGCCTGAGTATCTAAACCTGGATTAATCACAGCCTGAGTATCTAAATCTGGATTAATCATAGCCTGAGTATCTAAACCTGGATTAATCACAGCCTGAGTATCTAAACCTGGATTAATCACAGCCTGAGTATCTAAACCTGGATTAATCACAGCCTGAGTATCTAAACCTGGAATAATCACAGCCTGAGTATCTAAATCTGGATTTATCACAGCCTGAGTATCTAAACCTGGAATAATCACAGCCTGAGTATCTAATACTGGATTAATCACAGCCTGAGTATCTAAACCTGGAATAATCACAGCCTGAGTATCTAATACTGGATTTATCACAGCCTGAGTATCTAAACCTGGAATAATCACAGCCTGAGTATCTAATACTGGATTAATCACAGCCTGAGTATCTAAACCTGGATTAATCACAGTCAGAGAACCTAAACCTGGATTAACCTGGAATAATCATAAGAGATTGAATTAAGCAAAACACTTGGCTCGTAACATCAATTTACTGCTCACACTTTCGCAGGAACAAGCTTTAAATCTGTTTCTTAACCTCATAAGAGACTGTATAAAGGGTGTGTTTGGAAACCCAATGTTAATTATGAACCACGTTAACATACAAAACCCAGTTCAGTGGTATTATGAAAACTAGCTGCACCATTTTAACAAAGTTTTGCATTTCATGATCTCATTAACCTGCTGAATATCTCTCCAATGCATAAGTACTACCCAAACTGCTGCCATCAAGCTATCATCCCTGCACTGGGACACACTTCGGTCGACCTTTGTTTGGAAAATGGCCTTCATTCTTTTTGAGTTTATTTTCTCTCTCCTTCTCTAATGTCTGAAAGACTCCTCTGGGTGCTCCCCGGTTGTGGTTCACGAAAGGCCATCTGTTCAATTTCAGAGAGCTAGTGGTGAAACAGAGGGTGGACATAATTTCATTATTTATCAGCCTTGTATGAGTGCCTGAGAAGGGCTCAGAGCTTTTGTTACAAATTTAAATGATATTTTCTGGAAAATAAGTGAATGCTCCTCTCACAAATATGTTCTTGTACAGATATTGTGGCAAGTTTGGACAAGCTTTAAAGAATGTTAGCAAAAATCCCATTCAATCTAACATGAAATTTTAGCGCAGAACTTTGTCAAAATATCTATATTTACAGTGCATTCATAAATGAGTAGCAGTACGTTTTATTTGTAGTGTAAACACAGCCTATGCAAAATGGTTAGAAAGTGCAGTTAGGGGCCTTGCAAGACACATGATTTAAAGAGTATGTGTTTGTCTTAATGTTGGTAAATGGAAAGTATGATGGGGAAAATGTGGTTGGTCTTAAAGGAGGGGTGCCCAAACATTTTGTCCTTGGGTGCCAAAGAATAATTTGCATTGTGGGTCAAAAAGACAAAACAATGCAAATAAAGAAGTTAGTAGGGATTCAAGTTATGAGTAATGAATGCATCATATTAATAGTTTTCTATATCAAATTTCCTCTGGTACAGTGGCAGTGCGGTCAGTGGTGACTTCATGGTATCAAGGCTGGCTTATTTTTATGTAACTTCAGACTATATGTTTTGTTCTTAAAAGTACTTAAAATGGTAAAAGAAAAACAAGAAGTGGTCTCAATTGTGGCCCACTGGGGCCACTTTGCACAGCCCTGCCACTGAGTAAACTGCTAGCACTAGCATAGCTAGAAGTGTAAACTATGACATTATTTTCAGTACCGTGCAAAAGTCAGAGACCACACTTCATTTATGTCATTTCAATTAAAAATGGCAACTAAGTACAAGTTCTTTATTTTCAGTGTCAGGAAAAACACTTATTTTAAAATAATGTAATATAACATAATATTAACTATATATAATATAACTATATTCTGCAGGGCTATTTTTTCACACCTCCAAAGTTCAGTCTTAGAAGTTGGTTGCATTTTCTGTTTCTCACAATCCAAGTAATCCAAACACATTCAGTGATGTTGAGGTCTGGGCAGTCCATTTTCTCAGAACACCAGCAGCTTCTATGTGTGAACTGTACATTTCTGGGACTGCTATGACTAGAAATTAAATAAATGAAGAGTGGTCTCTGACTTTTGCAACATTAAAACAGGTAAAGACTGTGAACTTTCTCCTTAGCTGAACAATAAATCTTGTCCAGCACCCTAACCATAGCTACGAAGGACACATGTGGGTGGAGCATGGAGAGGTCAAGTAACTGGGTAACTTTGGACGACAAATTTTAAGAAGGCCAAGCATGACCTCTATTTTTTATCATTTTCCAAAGAATGCCATTTTTTTTTAGATACAGTTCAAATGCTAGTGCTATTACAACAACTACTACTTCTAACAGTAAAGATTATAATCATCTAATCACAGCCATTAATGAAGAACAAATCCAATACACCACTCCCAAAAAGTCCCTCCACACGACCGTTTTTCCACTCCAATCATTCGTCCTTGTTCTCCACTTTCCCTAAGGGTTCTCTACTTTGACTGAGTCCAGTCCATCTGGTCAGTTCGCACACACCACACTCTAGAGAATCAGACAGATTTCCTTGCTAGTCTGTATGGACCTTAATGATTTTCTGAAATGGGGAAGCAGGGAGGCCTCAGCCAACAGTAGGCATTTGAAAGCTTTTAATTAATTGAATCTCTATCGATGTCAATATCGACTTTAAAAATACACAGACTGGATTAGAAGAGCAGTAGACGGACGTTTTTCAATTAAACTGAACCGTGCAGAAATGGAAATATCTCTGGGTTACCTTTAGGTGTTAAACAGAGGACAAAGGGAAGCAAAGATATGAATATTAATAGACAATCGAGCAGCTCTTTTATATTTTATATTCTTTACACAGGCAGTTTTGCTAGTTTGACTCTTGGACAATATTGACTAATGGAGCTTGTAGGTCAAGACTTGTCGTCGTCTTCTAATTACAGTGTAAGGCATCTGAAATGGAATTCACACATCTCCAATGACCTTTGAAATGTCAGAGAGGCAATTTGTGATGGCTGCAGGCTGGGTGAGGATGGCGAAACAGGAAGATTTGCATTCGGAGAGTCACAGAGCGAGCTGTTCAAGCTGACTCTACTTACCTTCCAGTCATGTATTTACGGTCCATAAACACTATGTCCTAGAGTAACATGCATTACTTCATAGGCTTAAACTGACTGTATGTGGCTCCCCACCTCAATTCCTCACTCTAATATCTACATAACCTTCATATTACTTTCAATAGTAATCTGAATCATTCTAAAATTAGAATTTGCAGTAACATTACCCAAAATCAATAGTATCACATGACTAACTAACTAACAATCTAACTAACTAACTAACTAACTAAATATAAATATATATATATAAATGATTAATTTGTGAGGCGGCCTGTCTTTAACAGGCTGTCTGGTAATGTCTGAAGCGAGATGATGTGTGCAGACGGCTGATCCAGCTCACTTACCATCGTTGCACAACGGCCCCCCAAACGAAGTCATGCTGCAGTCACAGCTGAAGCCCTCCCATTGCTGCAGACATACACCCTGATTCGCACAAGAGTCCTCCTGACAAGTGGTGCTTGGGCCTGGAGAGGGAGAGAGAGAGAGAACAAGCACAACAGAGAGAGAGAGAGAGAGGAAAGAGAGAGAGACAGAGAGACAGAGAGAGAGAGTTACATCTAATTACTTTCAGCTCTGAGTTTTAGCTGAGCAGTTTATAGGTGAATTCAGCTACATTCAGCTCATTTTCAGAGCAGCACCTGTGTCAGGCTCAGGGCTCCAAACAGAATTAAAAAAGTACTTGTTCTTGACTGTTCTGGAACAGAAACATTATTTGAAATCTCTTGTGGTTAATAACATTGGGCCTCGTTCACCAATGTCTTCCTAAGTATTTTCTTAAACTTGTTCTTGAGAAAGGCCCTAAGAAAACGTCTACGTCAGATTCATGATGTGTTTTTAAAATGCAGAATTGTTCGCACCTTTATGCTCGAGTGTGTGTAGATTCTGCTCTTATTTAAAGACAAATCCCAAATAAGAAAGCAATGGTGAATGTCAGAATCTTTGTGAAAACTGCATTAAGTGGGTTTTAAGCAGAAATTTCTTCTTAAGAATGGTTGGGGAATGAGGCCCATTATTTTTCCCTTACTCATTATTTATGCCCTACATATGTGGTATTTTTGTGTTTAGGCTGTAGATGATCAATACAAGCATACCTTATTAGACGCACAGCCTATGGAACAAGAATGGAATTAATTAGGAATGTTGAAACCAGTTAGGAATGCTGGTGGTTTATAAGGCAAGAAATGTCAAAGGATTCATTCTGCTTGAAGAGGAATTCTTTTTATTTCGCTTCTGAGCCCTGACCAGGTTACAAACTTTCTTTACACTTGGAAAGTAAATGGTCATTAGACTATATTAGGGGTGTTTCGATACACATTTTAAAATCTTTTTTATTAATACCCTGTAACTGTAAATATGTGCCAAAAACAGTGCAAAAGATATAATTGAGACATTTAAATATATTTGCCATATCAGACAGACTGACCTCAGTTAGAATGGATTCCTCTGTTCTATTATAAACAGATTTCTAAAACAACCAAAAAAAAAAGAAAGAAAACAATTCTCTCCACTACACTTACAACCATTTTCAACTTTGTGTGTACACTACCGATCAAAAGTTTGGAATGTTTTCAATAACATAAAAACAATTTTGTTGAACATAAAATGATTCTAATATGCTCGCCCTGAACTTCTCAGCTTTCAAGAAAGCAGAGATCAATCTCAAGGCAGATAACTTGAACTCAAGGCAGAGAAACCTAAAAAATCATTACTGTATATTATCAACTACTTAAAACTTTAGAATTCTGGAAATGTTGAATAAAACATCTGTAAACAATTCCAAATTGCACGTTATTTTTGTATATTCTTGCTGCTGGAACAAAACCGTATCTCTCCAAAATGGAAACTTCATAGGAGAAAGTTGATGTAACAAGAAATTTTTTCAAAATCATTTTGGCTCATTTCTATTGGTCCATTCACCATGATATTTTAACACAAAGCAGAGGGTAACCAGAATTATGTAAAAAAGTAAAAACAAAAAAAAAAAATAGAGATACAAGTTTTTTTTTGTGGGAAAGAGCTGATCATGTTGATACCAAAAATGTAAAATTTTAATGGTAGTGTATTTAAATTCCAAACTTTTGAAAGGTAGACTATTTAAATTCCAAACTTTTGAAGAGTATTTAAATTCCAAACTTTTGAATGGTAGAGTATTTAAACTCCAAACCTTTAAAAGATAGATTCCACAGTTATGAATGGTAGAGTATTTAAACTCCAAAATTCTAAAAGGTAGAGTATTTAAATTCCAAACTGTTGAATGGTAGTGTTTAAATTCCAAACCTTTGAAAGGTAGACTATATAAATTCTAAACTTTTGAATGGTAGATTATTTAAATTCCAAACTTTTAAAAGGTAGAGTATTTGAAATCCAAACTTTTAAATGTGAGTGTATTTAAATTCCAAACTTTTAAAAGGTAGAGTATTTAAACTCCAAACTTTTAAAAGGTAGTGTTTAAATTCCAAACTTTTAAAAGGTAGTGTTTAAATTCCAAACTTTTAAAAGGTAGAGTATATGAAATCCAAACTTTTAAATGTGAGTGTATTTAAATTGCAAACTTTTGAACGCTGGTGCATTTAAGTAAGAAAAAAAAAAAGTGGGCATTTTGTTTTTGCCTCTCCATTTAAAATGTATTGTTTTTACCTCTGTACGTAAAAAAGCATATAGCATATTAGAAACTCTTTATATCATTACACCCCTGAAATATATGCAAGCAGATATGTCACAAATAAATGTCTGAGACAGACCACGCCTTGCTAACAAACACACAGTAACACACACACATACACACACACACACACACACACACACACACACACACATTGCGAGACAGACAAGACTAATCAAAGCGGAACAGAAGTGTGAAACTAAAAACTGCTCTTTTTTTTGCAAGGAATATTAATTTTGATAAGGATGGATCAACCATATGGCAAATAGTGAAGGGAATTCGAGCAGACACAATCTCAAGTCCCAGATACGCCAATCAAGTCAACTTGCTAATGAAATTCATTAATATCATCTTCAAATCATTCATCTACAAGATATTCTTAATATATGCTATATGTCCAAAAGTATATAGACACCTTTTCTAATTAGTGAATTCAGTCACTTTAAGGGTCATCTATTGCTGGTTGAATAACCACTTCCAATAGAATGGGACGCTCTGGAGCTGCCACACAGGAGCCTGAATTCACCATGCCAAATGAAAAACATCAGCTAAAGGGGTATAAAGCCCCCCAACACTGGGCTGCGGAACAGTGAAACTGTGTTCTCTGGAGTAACGGAGTTCTATCCACTACCTTCGGAGTGAGCTGGAGTGGCATCTGTGATCCGGAACTAATCATCCAATATCAGTACCTGACCTCACTAATGCTCTTGTGAATCACTAAATGCAATCAAATCTTCACAGCAATGTTCTCACATCTACTGTAAAGCCTTCCCAGTAGAGATGTGGCTGTTACTGCAGCAATAAACTCCTTATTAACACCCTTGACCTCAAAGGAAATGAGCAAACCTTTGGACATATAGTGTATATACACATATTAAAGCATATTAAGCACATATAATATATTAAATACCATATTAAAGGCCAAGACATAAAATGCATAGTGCTCACAAAGAGGGTGCAAAAGGTTTATGCTACCTGAAAAAGAACAAACAGAGAAACACACAGTCATGCAGAACAAATTCAGTCTGACTTTAATGCAGATTTTGAACAGTTTATGAGGTTTACAACAGTTTTATGTTGATTTAGTCCTCACAAAATTCTTAGTACAGCATTGAAGTTTAGTTCATGCTTATACCAAATTAAGAGATGGCACAATACTACTTTTTCTTTTCCAGTAACAAAATCGATATTGTGTCTTTCATACAAGCTGACAGTGCTTTTTTTTCTTTAAAAAGTACTAAGCTTTGGAATTAGCTGTACAATGTGACAATATTGTTGCAAATGTGCAAATACTTTTGTGTGTGTGTGTGTTTTGGTGTCCATGGTCAAACTATGTTTTTATTTACTTACACACAATATAATTGTACTGTCAAAGATACAACAGTGGCCTTAAGATCAAACTGTGTGCCATAAATACGTTTTAAAGATACACTATATTCACTTTCCCAGGTGAAAGGTACATATTTGTATCTTTTTATTAATTTTTAAAAAAGAAAGGAGTTAAATAAAAAACCTGGAATCAGGATAAGGTGTATGTTGATTCAGGGTAACCTAAAAATATAACTGCAATAGAATACGATACAATTATGTTCTATTACCGAAGACCCTAATGATTTGGATGAAAATTCACCCATATCTAGGAGGTTGTTATGATATCTCCGGTGGTTGCTAAGGTGTAGCTAGGTGGTCGCTTTGTATCCCAGATAGCTGCTAGGGTGCTTCTAGGTGGTTGCTATGGTATCCCAGGTGATTGCTAGGGTGTTTCTAGGTGGCTGCTATAGTATTCCAGGTGTTTGCTAAGGTAGGGGGTTGCTAGGCCATTGCTATGGTATTGAATATGTTTAATAAGGTGTTGCTGTATCATCATGAGATAAACTGGCTGCACAACTTTTGCCCCCCATTCATTACTATGGGGGAAAAATTGCCATTTAACAATCATTTTGCAAAAACTATACATCTGATCAAAAAGCACACTTTTCTCAATAACACCAACAACATTCTGAAGTTGAAACAGCGTTGATGTTTCAAAACCTGTGGGATGGGTTGGCAGAAAAATAAACTAATAAATAATAATAATAATAAGAAGAAGAAGAATACAAATCAGATAAAAAAGATGGCAATAAAATCATTTAGCCTTACTTAGGATAATAAGATGTTGTTAGGATAGGATCAGAGTCATTCTTTTTACCCCTTTGGATATCCATTCCAGCATTTTTTGCTGATATTGATACAGATACCTAGTATCCAATCAGTGCCATCTCTGTACCAACATAAAACAATTAATAGGCAAGAATTCTATAAATTCATCATCATTTAGAATGTAACTCCATTGTATGCTGTGCAAGTTAATGCAGGCATCTGCTGCACCTGCACAGCTAAAGTAACGTATGTGCATGTATATATGTAAGAGAGAGAGAGAGAGAGAGAGAGAGAGAGAGAAAGAAAATATCAGAGATAAAGAGAGAGAAAGAAAAGCCAAAGCAAAAGAGCGTGTCTGTCTGTCCGAAGCTCTCTCCGTATGTCTGTCCGTCTACCCTACCTTCATGAGAAATGTTAATGAAATGTTAGTGAAATGTTAGTGAAATGATTTATGAGTCATTTATGAGCGATTAGGTTGCTGTTACTATTATTATTATTATTATTATTATTATTGTTTTTGTTATTATAATGATATTATTATAAGCCATTATGTAAGTACATGGTAATAATAAGTTACAAATGTATTAGTAGCAGCTAAATGGCATATGCATTGGGAAAACAGCATGGAATGCTTAAAAATGCTTATGTATTTCGGGTTATGATTATGGTTATAATAGCTGTCTTAGTAATGTGGGGTTTCTGAAGTTCTGTAGTGTTATTGAATTATTATGACTTTTTAAGCAATAGCAGTAGCAGACAATGTTATTAAATTTAAAGCAATTTTAGTTTTATTTATTATGTTTGACATACAAAAATCTGCTGGCAGTGTGTAAGCGTTTGCATGCAGTTGGTATTGAGAGCATGCTTCTGGGAAAAAAAAAATATATGATGACAGGAGAAACAAAGAAAAGTGTGGAAAACTGAACTGAATGGTGAAGAGTCAGTGAAGTCCCATGGCCAGAAATACAAAAACAGACATTTGCATTCTGTACAGGGGAATCCATTCCATTCCATTCAAAAGGTGAGTGGACAACCGAATGTACAGGATTCTCAATTCAGGATGATGGTGATGATGGTGGTGATGAAGGTGTGAGGTAGCGGGTGCAGCGGTTTCAGACTGAGTTTCAAACAAACAAAGCTATCTACCTTGTAGGTCAGCTTTCATCATTGCAACTTTTGTCGGCCAAAACCAATCAAGGAAGGAAAAAGGCAGAAATATCAGGAGTTAGTAGAAGTACTGAATACTGGACACTGACAGACAACTAGAGAAACAGACAGCCAGACACTATATACAAGCAAGTATATAAATCTGTATGTATGTATACAGAGAGAGAGAGAGAGAGAGAGACAGGTGACAGACAAACAGATAGATAGCTAGCTAGATAGATACATGACACATACATAGATAGATAGATAGATAGACTGATAGATTGATAGATAGATACGCATGTAAAAGTTTGAACACCCTCAGTCAAATGTACTCTTACTCCTCTACAGGGAACAAACTCAAATCAGGCATTTGTCATCAAATACTATGTTAAATTCAGCCAAGTGTGCATTAAAACATGCAGAAGTATGTGCTCTCTAGAGGATGTGTAACTTATTTTCATTTGGAAAATCAACAAATGTGTCATTTGACCAGGGGCGCACAAACTTTTGCATACAGCTATAGATGAAAGGATAAATGGATGGACAGATGGCTGAATGGATGGATAAAAAGATCCATAGACATATATATATATATCGCTGTTGTCGGAAGAAAACCTTGTATCTCCAAAATGGTAACTTTACAGGAGAAGGAAAAAACATACTTTACTTTTAATGTAAGTCAGTGGAACCAGACCTTGTTCCACGTCGTTTTTGGCCATTTCTGTTGGTCCATTCATCATGAAATTTACAGAGGATGTAAAGGGCAACAGGTATTTTCACATTATCAGAAACTGAAAAATGACAAAAATGGAGATATGAGGTTTTCTTCTGACAACAGCGATACACACACACACACACACACACATATATATATATATATATATATATAGATAGATAGATAGATCTATACAGATAGATACAAAGATAGATAGATAGCATTCAGTTTTGAAGGGACTTTTCAATAATCAAATGGCCTCAGCTTTTTATTCACTTCCACAGCTAGACGATATAGTCAAAAATGATGATAATCTGATATATCATTATTTTGTTCATTTATCTTTTGATACTGACAATTAATAATAAGAATAAACTTCTGAAAGTCTGAACAAGTCTGTACTTTGAAGAAAACAAAGGTATCTAGTATAATAAACCAAAATATTTTATCAAATAGATAGTTATGGAGAATAAATAAATTACATTTACATTCAACATTCATTTTGCATACCTTTAAAACTGCATCTTGCATACCTTCAAAAAAATTCCCTTTTTACCTTGTTATTTGTATCATGTACAAGGTCATTCTAAGGACAATTCTAGTCAGGTTAAGCATGACTCACAAATTCATAAATTAAAATACTGAATTCATCAAAACTCTAGCTTTCCTGTAATCTTCTCCTTAAAAAACTAGTGACTTTCACTCTGAAGTACATCACAGAATGAAATGTGATACCCAATTCCTGCTGACTTCTTGCTGAAACAACAAAAACAGGAACTAAAAGATTAAAAGAGAATAAAGTTGATACAGTGGATGTACAGGGTTTTCCCCTTAATCTCCTCTTTTCCTGATAATTAAGGCTCTAAAGATAGCTAAGTAGCTTGTAAACTGTACTTCTGCACTGTGCTGCTGTTAGTGAATGACTAGACTTCGCCAACTAGTGTTCCAGAGTAGCAGCTGTTCAAAGTTTAAGCTTTTGCTGCTAATATTGCATTTAGGACAAAATTGTATGATCATTTCATTTAAAATATGGCAGCAATTTACTTTCCAGATTGGCAATAAGTGGGTAATAATATGGTAACACTATGGTAACAAATGGCGCTAACCAAGAAACATGCTAATTTTCTAGTTTTGTAGCAGTAACAAGTCAGTAATAAAAAGGTAAAATAATGGTACAAGTTGTACCAATCTAAAAATGGCATGCTTATTTTCTTGTTAACATATAATAGGTTGAAATGATGTCTGATATTAATACACTGATTCCATGAAAGCTCAGTATATTATATTTTTTCCATTTATTATTAACTAGCTATGACTACAATTACTAAATAATTATTTATGAACAACTAGAAGATTTGCATGCAATTGTTAGGTTATTTTTTGTAATTTCATTACTGACATGTTGCCACTAAAATTGTTAACTTATAATTTTGAGGTTAGTACAACTTGCTACCTTAAAATTACCATATTATTTCCCACTTATTATTGATCTGTAAAGTTCTACCAAGACATACTTTATTATCAGTGTTGTAAAAAATGTATAATTTTGATATTTATCACTATCGATTAATCATCCTGGCCATCTTTGTTAGCTGCCTACAGCAGTAAATGCTGTTTAGTGCAGAAGAACACAAAACCGTAAGAACCAGCAAATCAAAGAAGGATGGACAACAATGAGATCTAACACTAGGCAAAGAAAAAGAAAAAAAAAGAAAAAGGAAACTAACACGTATTTCGAACGAAGCCTGAAAATAAACCCGGCCGAGCGCATTCCCCACAGCGAATCCAGCATCCATTATTCAAGAGGAGGCTGCTCCTGGCAAACTCTCCGATCCGACGAGCATGCAGGAGGTGCAGTGAAACGAGAGTAAAATAAGAGATAACTCTGACAATACCGATAATCCACTGAGCGTAACGTGATTATGCTAAAATGGTACACAAATGGCAGGAGGCAGGAGCAGCAGCTTCAGAACATTCCGGCAGAGTGCACTCACACTTTATTAGCCATAAAGTCCGCCAGAGGGGGTGTGCTCATGTATATGTGTGTGTGAACAATGTTTACATTCACTACTGAACGACACAACAATAAGTAATGTCTATTCAATGAGTCTGAGCTCAATCCGAGAAAATATTAACAGTGAATGTAGAGCAACAGAGGGATATGATTATGTTTTTCCCCATAATTCTGACCAAATGTAGTTATATTCAATGAGGAAAATGTCCAAATAATGTCAGAAAGTTATTTTATGCCAAGATTAAAGTACACTATGCTGGCCAGAAGTGAGAAATACATGTAATCCACAAATGTAAATAATTTAGGTCTAAATCAGAGTATATACATATGCAGTACTGTCCAAACAACACATCACCATTCATTTATTGAATTTCCAGTCAAACTGGGTTCATCTTTCAGGAGCTATTTCTGAGGAGATGAGATTAGATATAAGATGATCCACTTGCATAAAGAAAGTCTAAGGAACATAAGTAACAAACATTAAAAGGTGTAGAGAAAACGAGAATCCTAACAACCACCTGCAGGACCTGGTAGACCATCAGCACTTTCCCCATCAGATAAACAGCACTTAAAGCTTTCATCTTTGAGAGAGAGGAGAAAATTAAGCTCCACTCTTGATTCAGACCTGAAAAAGTTCACAGGTGTTTCTGTCCATCCTTCCACTGTGAGAAGACAACAATGCTAGCTGCGTTCCAAAGCCTAGGCTGAAGCTGAGGTAGGCTGCATTTCTCGGCCGCTATGTCATAGCAGGCCGCTCCAAAGCGAAACACCCTTTGTATACAGCCTAGAAATGCAGCCTTAGTTCTGAGCGACACTGAGGATGCAACAGATGTATCCTTCCAGACCTTTGGTTACCCACAGTTCTCTGCACATAAATGGCATGAAGAAAAAACAAGCACTTCAAAAATGATAGTGCTTGGAAAACAAAGCCACTGGAGCAGAGCTTGTTTTAAAATGTTCTTGAATTCATCTTCGTTACCTTATAAAGTGTAAAATGACTGACTAATTAAAGCATTTGTCCATATATCGTATTTTATTTTGAAATATTTGTATATATGTAGTTTATCGTACTACATAAGAACATCTCCTCCATTTCCGTGAGGAAACGAAAAAGCAATAAACACAATGCAACAGGCTCCATTTTCTCTCACAAGTTCCCTCACAAGTTTCGTGCCGCATTGCAAGAGGCGGGACCTTTTTGGTGACGTCACCACGCAGCCTCGTTAGGGCTGTTCCTTTTGTGTGACTAATAGGCTACCAAGGATGAGTCCCCATTGGACAGTCCTTCCGAGAACACGCCCTACCTCAGCTGCAGCCAAGGCTTTGGAACGCAGCTACTGAGTCTGAAAGGACATGTAGAAGAGTAGATGTGTCAACATTTGTAATTGGAATTACTTAAATAATGTGAAGCAGAAAATGTAACCAACTTCTAAGACTGAACTGTGGAAAAACATCCCTGCAGATTTCTTTTAAAAACTGAAAGTGCGTCTCCTGAAAAGAATGGAAGCTATAATAAAGGCAAAGAGTGGACACGCTAAATACCGAAAACAATGATATTGTATTTAGTTGTTGACACTTCTGTGTGTATTTCTGTCAAATATGTTTTCTGCTCTTTTTCCTGATGTTGAGAAATTAATTACTTGTATTTATTGGCCACTTTGACTGGATATAAATAAATGAAGGGTGGTCTCTGACTTTTGCATGGTACTGCGCAGGCCCAGTCTGCAAAAAAATTCTACAAAATAATCCACCGAAAAAGTGACTTTTGTTCTTCTTAGATGTAGACGATGGGCCATTTGGGGCCTAATCAAGTCCAGGATATGTCACCATTAAAGCAAAAGCAGTCTGGGATGTCAGGGACTTTCTTTCTTCTCCAGCATGCCAGCCTGCGAGTGTGTCCTCGCCATTCAATTATTCACACCCGTTTTTATCCTTTTAGTTCACTTTTGTTCATTTGCTCTAGACTACGCTTTGTAAGTCCTGTCAGATTCCTCTCAGTAACATGCACATCCTTTTCCCTATGTTGGATGCTTAACAGCGCTTCTCAAAAGAGTTGTATGCTTGCATCTAGCATGTGTTTGAAGATGAGATCAAGCCATGAAATCATTTCTTAAAGGGAAATCCCATCCATTTTTCAAAAATTCTAAATAATTCACTGGTTCAGATGTAAACAAAGACATTCAGAAATGGAAAAAATTATGGACTCAAATCTCTCTACAGTGGTGGTAATAGGAGCCAGCCAGTCACAATGTCTAAAAAAACTTTGCAGTGCAAAAGCTTATATGTACCTCTCCACCATGATCAGATCTTGATAAGTATGTTTTAGGCCAATGTCTTATCTTAAACCTATCATAAAACAATGTCTCAGACATCAGGCAGTGTATTCATAACCTGTTCACGTAATAACTTTCTGTGAATGAGCTTTTAGAGGCATTAAACTCTTCAGATGTTTGGTTCCTATCACCACCATAGTGAACAATTCTGACTGTGTAAGTTTCTCTAAAATGAAGCATTTCACACTAACCCACACTCACCACTCTCAATGACTTTGTTTCCATCTTAGTCATTTAATTGTGCAGAAAAACGTTTTATAAAGTTGGTGGAATTTCCATTTAAGTTTGTTTCACACATATATAAACAGCCGTCAAATGCTTGGGGACACTGTATTCTTTTGAAATTTCCAGAGTAACGTTTGAATTTTGCTGTTTATTCAAAAATATACAGTATATTTATTTTTTTTAGGTTATAATTACTATTATTTAATTTAATGTTTATTTTTTATATGGGCAGGGAATGTTGCAAGTTTTGAGCAATATTTCTTAAAATAAGCAAAATTATCTGACAACAGAGCGAGATAATTTCACTCAAATCACCTAAAACAAGTAAAAATATCTAAAAATAAGTTCAAGGCCTCTTACTGTGAAATAAAATCCTTGCTTTTTTAAAATGAGAGATTAATGTAGGATGTATACAGTGCTAAAGTTTCAAAACATAGTTCACCCCCCAGTACATCCAGTCCATACATGGAAACTAAGCTGCCCATTTTTAATTAACTGTTACCATGATGGCATTAAAAAAACAAAACGTTTACATATATCTGCCCATTCAGCCTACAGCTGTTTAGCCCCACCCGCTCAGGATGACTTTATAAGGAGTGTTTCAGCTCAGACTGCTTTTTGAAAGGAACAAAACAAGGCAGCTAAACAGAACTGAACACATTTACATAGATCTGTCTTAAAGGCACAGTAACAAAAACAGCCTGTTTAATTCTAAAGGATAAAGAGAGGCTGAAAAACTGTCATGAACTGTAATGTTTTTGGTACCTAAACCCACACGAATGTTATAAGTGGACCTCAGGGACAAAAATAAAATACAACAAGAAAAATGTAGGGTAAGGGCCTTAAAAATAATCTTATAACAGTTTTATAACAATCTCAAAAAGAGAAATATTACTAGATATTAGACCAGATTTAGATTTAAGATAAGATGATTTCACTTCCAAGATAACACTTTTTGCAGTGTTCCAGAGCCTGTGCCTCCAGGAGGCCCCGTTCCTGTCTTTTGCCCCAGAATCAAAACTATGTGCTAATCTGTTGGGTTTGCTTCAACCCTCAGCTTCATGCTCATGAAAGTGCCTTCATTAGTATGAAGAGAAGGATTTACCTAAAAAATGACTTTTGATGTGTTAATTATTTGCAAACTCGACAAAGAAAACAAATTCATGACCTAAAACAACTTTTGAAATGGCAGGTGTCCCCAAACTTTTGATGCACCATGGTCTGACAAATTTACTTCTGGTCGTGAGTCAGGCTGGAGGCCGAGTTTGCTCCAATTTGTCGCACTTGCTGCGTAACCCTTTATTTACACCTCTGGGCTCGGGGATATGTCGCCTCCCTGTGTTACTCTGTTCACAGCCGCAAGAGAAAGCAAATGCACTAACTGCAAGGATAAAAAAAAATAAATGGGAAGAAAGAAAGACAAAAGAGTTTGAGAGGGCAACCCAGCGGCAGGTGCAGGCCTCACCTTCGCAGCCCCTCTCGATCTGACCCACGCAGGTGAGAGCGTCCGAGATGAGGTCAGGAAGCCGGCCGTTCAGGTCTACAGATGCCAGACAGCCCTGGAAGCCCTCCTTGGCATGCACCAGCTTGGGCAGCTCTTTGTACATCTCTTTGGCCACACCCCCAATGTACAGGTCTCCTGTAGACGGAAAAGATTAGATGTTATGTGTAAGCAGGGCAGGGCTGCTGACCAACACACACACACACACAAACACACTTAATACATATACAGTGGGGTCCAAAAGGCTGAGACCACAATGAAAATATGGGATTGTTTCATTCAGACTTGGAAATAAATAACATTTAAGATTCTTGAAAAATGAAAAAAGGTTATAACTAATTAAATGAAGAAGAAACATTCACACTTCCACACTATTTCTCGGTCATTACTCAAACTGAGGCAATTTTGTGAAATTGACCACGTTAAGGCCTTAGGTCAGTCTTTTTCCTTCCATTCAAACATGTGTTCAGATGACTCAGGTGAATCTGATCTACTGATCAGACACTTTTTCACAAACTTACAGAGTCCATGCCAGCTTGAGCGCACACTGTCATTAAAGCAAACAGGGTACATACCAAGCACTAACAAATTCCGAAATTTCTGAAACATTCAAAGATTCTACTCTTCACTCAAATTTTTATGCTGATAATAGAACTTGTAATAAATATTATGGACATGATTATTTTTTTACCCTTCCAAATAAAATACAAAATCCATGGTACACAGGTAAAGCTACTTTAAAATTTTTAAGACCACTGGGCCTCATTAACCATTCTTAAGAACAAAATTCTCCTTAAAACCCACTTACACTTGTTTCATAAAGACTCTAAAATTCACCAAGGTTTTCTTATTTGGGATTTGTTCTTAGGGAAGAACAGAATCTACACACACTCGAACACAAAGGCACAAACAATTCTGTGTTTTAAGATCACATCGTGAATCTGACGTAGACTTTTTTAAGGACCTTTCTCAGGAGCAAATTTAAGAAAAAACTATATTTAGGTATTGGTGAATGAGGCCCACTGGGCGTGCAGGATTAAAATAAAAACTAGCTCAGCAAACTAAAAACAACTAGTAGTTTGAATTAAATTTAGACAACAGAGAGCAAAACAACTGAGCTGAACAAAGTTTACAAAAAAGACAGCAAAACAACAGTGATTGTTCAAAGCTAAAGGTGGCTTCGTAATCAAATTTTCCGAACATAACTGCTGCACCATTTAAGGTGAATTTGAACATGAAGCCTCATGGTAATGGTTGTGCTTGTTTTAACAGCAAAAGCTGTTAATATTGCGCAAATAGAGAGAGCTCAGTTTCTTCCATGAGTCTCTGTTTCTTCCTGTCCTGTGTGCAGCCAGATACCTCTCGCATTTCTTCCACTCTGGGTCTCGAGTCATAAAGCCCAAGGCCAATTCAAAGTCAGAGTATTTGGTGTTCAAGTCAAAGTCGAGTCAAAAGTCTTTTTGATTTTGTCGACTCTCAAGTCATCAAATTTGTGACTTAAGTCTCACTCAAGTCTAAGTGATAAGACTCGAGTCCACATCTCTGCAATCCCAAAACACTATGAACCAACATATGTCTTCTTAGTTTTTATATGCAGTGTTGATGATGGTAAAATAACACATTTAAAGAAAAAGAAAATGATTTCTTTGGGGACTATTTTTCCTTCTAAGGTCCTGCACGTAGCCTCCACCATAAATAGATTTAAAAAATACTTTGTAAGCCAAAATCAAATCTCAATCTATTGCAAAACGACATCTCAGGCATCAGAGAATGTGTTCATAAATATGTCAGGTAAAAACTGTGATGCAGCTTATAGAGGCACTAAACACTTCAGACATCTGGTTCCCATCACCACCACTGTGAACAGACTAAAGTTCTCTAGAATGATCCGTTTCACACCAAACTACTCGGAGTGAGTGTTTACACCCTAGCATATTAATTTAAATTCTGAAAAATTCTCCTTTAAGGTTGGCAGCCCTTCTTGAAGTGTCAAATTTCAGTACAATCTGATTCGATTATTTTAATAAGATAGGATTATTTTATCCTGCATTTGTCTTGGTCCATTTATTGTGTTTGGTTATGTACCAGAAACAGTCATTCATCAACTCTTTATCTCTTTAAACAGACTGTTGTTGTTAACTGTGCCTTTAAAACTTTTATATGTAAATGTTTTTTGTTCTGATTGGCTGTCCTGTATTGTTTCTGATTTAAGCTGCAGCCCAGGCTGAAACACTTCTTATAACTTCATTGTGAGTGGGCAGGGCTTAAATGTTGTAGGCTGAATAGGAGGATGTAGGTAAATGTGTTGATTGTCATGACACAAATCCTATGAATTCAAAACTGTTTTTTGAAGCCTAGTTTCCACATATGGACTGTCTGGATGGAAGAGTGAATAAAATGTTATGAAACTTTAACAATGTTTACATACCAAATTTTGGTTTTCCACTACATGGGCCCTTTAATTCAGCATTAAAAAAAAAAAATAGCCTAAGAATTTTATTTTGGCCACAAAGTAAGAGTAATTTAAAAACAAAATATTACTATAATCAGTTTGAATCTATGCTAACATTCTAAAATGAATGCAGCTGAATCACCACCCTCAGCTGAATCCATCTTAAAGCTTTATGTCCAGTAATGAACATGGTCAGAGGCCAGCGTTGTGGTTACATGACACTACTGCACTCCAGTGGTGAACATGGATAATACACACACCGGCCTTTAGAGCAGATACTAAAGCTGACACTAAAACATCTTTATTGCCTAGTATTACCACCAGAAGTGATTCAAAAGATGTAGCGTTTCAATAACAGTGCTGCAGTGCTATCTAAAATGATAATAAAAGAGTAAGCCTGCTTTAATGTTACTTACATCTGTGATTCTCTTCTGCCTCTATAGCTCAGAGCCTTTTTACCACCTTCTATAAAAATACTGCCTGTCTGTTTAGTTTGTAAGTAACAGATAACTCAGTAAAGCTCTTCGGAAAATGTCTGTGAGAAGTGAGTGCCAGTGATTCACTCAATGAGCGTCGTCAGTGCTCTGAATAAAGACGCTTCTCTAGACGTTCATCAACAATCAGCTCTGTGATTAGAACTGTCAGGTTTTACAGCTTTACTGCATACTGTATTTCATTTCCTGAAACAGTGATTCTACAGTGAAATTATACAGTGAAACTAGGCTGACAGAACATCATCTACACAGAGCAACATCAGCAATAGGACAAGTAAAATAACAGTACATCATATGTTTACATATAAAACCTAAACAACAGCAACAATAAAAATAATAATGAAAAACTTGTAATTAATTAATTTATTGCAAATTAGCAAATGCATGGCATTAATGTTTTAACCATTTTGATTAATAAAAAAAAATAATAATAATAATTTTAAATGATCGAATGCATAGTATTACAATGTGTACTCTTATAGCTATAATAATAACATATATATACATATATATATATATATAAATGGTAACTTATTTATTTAAAATGGGCAAATAGCAAAACAAGATGCACCTTTGTTCTTTTAATAATAATAATAATAATAATAATAATAATATTATTATGTTAATTAATATTAAACATTTTTATTTTATCACTAGTAGCAGTAGTAGTGTCATCATTATGTTATTTTATTGTTGCTATTAGAAAAACATAAACTCCTCATTCTAAAGCTAAGCAGCAGACATCATCATTACTAATATTTCCATGCATTTGACTCATTCAGCATTTTTAATTTACAGGCTAAGACTCCTTTTAGCGACCCATAACTACTCTCAGTTTGGCTATGATGTGGTCCATATGGTTAGGGGTCAGTACTTATACTGGAAGACCACTGTTTGCTCTGACCTCGGTGTGAATCAGCATGTCAAACACAGAGTGGGATCAGGAGAGGAAAAGCTGTTCTCTGTGAATGCTGTGCTACTGCAGCCTACAGCAGGACAAGCTCAGTGACGTGTCCCAGTATCCATTTCCAGTGGTACGACTGGGCTCAGGATGACTCACTGCCCACCATCTCGCCAAGAACACAGAAAGCCTGCTCTGCTGTTCGGCCATATGGCAGAAATGACCCTGTAACCTCGTAGCTCTACTGGCGTCCAGAATAACAAAGCTTCCCACACTCCAACATCACTGCGCTCTGCTGTCTGCCTACACTGATTTAGCCTCCCCTGATTTAAAGATATGCATAAACATTCTAGGTCAATAAAAAAAACTCCACAGTTCCAATTTTTAAAAATGCTACCTTTTCTTTTTAACCCAAACACACGCTGTTTCACATCTGTGCAAAATCATATCAGCACTGGGAGCCCCCTAGTGGTAAAAAACCCCTTTAATGATCCCCTATAAAGTGGGATGTGCACAGTGATTACAAAGACAAACCTTTTTTAAAAAATTATACACTCATTCTGAAATTATGCCTGCAACACACCAAAAAAGGTCAAATTAAGACAAGGCTATAAAATGTTCAAAAACATTTTCAATAGATGATGAAGTTATCTGATAATGAACCCTCCAGGAAAGGCCTACACTCTTAAAGGGTTCTTTGGTAAAGGGAATGATTCTGTATAGCACTATGAGCTCTAGACAGAACTATTTTATGCTTAAATAGTTCTTTGCATGGTGAAATGGTTCTTCAGATTGACAGAGAATGTGTTGTTATGGTTCTATATAAAACCTTTTTCAAAAATAGTTTTACACAGCAGCAAAAAGGGTTCTGCTATTGTTACGATGTCAAGCTTGTAATAAGAGATGAACCCTTTATTTTTCCTATATAGAACCAAATTTAAGCATGAAATGGATCTATACAGAACGCATGGTTCTAAAAAGAAATACTTTGACAAACTGTTGTCAATTCATCAAGTTAGGACTGTCAACAACATAAAGACACATGTCAATATTGTCCGGAAATGCTGCCAAATTCTCTGGGCTTGAGCTCATCTGAAATGCACTGATGCACAGTGGAAATATGTACTGTGGTCTGATGAGTCAACCTTTTAGATTGTTTATGGAAATAACGGATGTTGTGTTCATGGCCGTAACTAGCTATGAGGACACCGAGGTCCGAACCTCCGTAGTTTTAGAAGAGTTTTTTCAATTTCCTCCACTCATGAGATTTAACGTACAAACAGCGCCATTATGATAATACAGTTTACTCAGGCGCACCCACATATCACAGGCCTACCCAACCAAATGGGACAGAATATTTATTATACTGCATTTATAGGATAATGAAATTAGATTTTATTTTTGTGAGCGCTGTCACTGTATTATGGCCAATCAAAATCTGCCAAGCGCAGTGTTATTTTTCATTTACTAGTGACTGCAATCTGTTTTTATTAGCATTTCACATACTGTCCCAACTTTTGTGGAACTGAGGTTTGTATGATTAGTAAAATTGAATTAAAGGTTTTCTGCTCTTTTCTAAGCACCGAAATTATGGTCCATGGTAACTGATCATTTGCTACAGATAAGGCAGATAGAGATACGGTTGAGAAAAGCTGGACTATTCCTTTAAAGAGGAATTATGAAAATTTAAATTGATTTAAATTGGTGGACATACAGTTATTACTTAATGATTCAGAGATTATTGCTGACATCAGTGGCCCAGGCCTACCCTTTAAATCCAGGTTTCTGGCGCCCATGGTGGTCTGAGTGGTCACTTTGGTGTCGATTTTGACCGTGTGCAGGTTGTTGGAGTCTCTAGAGATCATCACATTGTGCCAGTGGTTATCATTCAGGGGCTTGTTGGAGTTTCCCTTAATGAGGTGGGCACCGTTCCCCAGGTCCGCAACGTAGTGCAGATAACTGTACAGAGAATTTACAGAAAGAAAAGGCTGTTTTTAACAGAGGTATCAAGCAATTAGAGCACACAGGATGAAGCAATGAGCAAGATGAGCAGCTAAAGTGCAGAATGAAAGAAATCATTACTTTGGTATGTACTGTTCAGTCATTTGTGATATTTAATGTTTGATTTTTAATATTTAATTGCCCACTGATAAACTGTTACCAAGGAAACAACAGTGCTCCCAAGGGTTTTTATCTGAGCAATGCAGATTCTCTGCCTAACAATTTGGAGAAATGAACACAGAAATAATCACTTGATAACACTAATTGGGGTTATACATATTTATTTCTACACACACTGACCACTGTATTGGAAACCCCCACCTTGTAGACCCACCTTGCTGGTGTACAGTTAGAGACTGCAGCCCATCTGTTGATGCAGAATTTGTGTAACTGCTATACTGAAAATGGTGTACAATGTAAATAATATCTGGTCAACAGTGGTCAGAAACTAACCAATGATGAATGGGGTAGGTCAGTGCAATTACACAGTCTTTAATTAAACATTCAACAGTACTGAGCAAAAGTCAGAGACCATCATTCATTATTTTATTTCAGGTCAAAATGGTCAGCAAATTTTTCAGCATTAGGAAAAAAGCAGAAAACATATTTATCAGAATCTTACAAAGAAGCCTCAATAACTAAATACCATATCTTTTTTATATTTAGTGTGTCCTCACTTTGCCTTTACTACAGCTGTGGGAGACTCACTTTCAGTTTTTCTAAGCAATCTGCAGAGATATTTTGGACACCGCAAGTTCAGTCTTAGAAACTGGTTGCACTTTGAGCTTCATGCAATCCAAGTAATCCCAATTAAAGATTTAGACACATCAGCTTATAAAACCCTATGAATAACTTACACTTAATGCAAGGTTTGACTGGAAATGGAACAAATGAATAGTGGCAAGTGAGTGTAGTTACAAGAAAGGTGGTATGATACAGTGGCCAGTCCTACCCTCTCTTTCCTCAGGAACCTATTCAAGAATCATCTTAAAAACAGAAAACAAATCCACAAATTCTTACGGAAAAACAGAACTCTGAGTATTATTTGTTTAGTCTGGAAAGCAGATGCGAGCTGAGATGCCCTATTAAGCTTCAGCAATTGAACTGATCTCTTTAAGCATCTCTGAGACTTTAAATGTTCAAGATTAGCAGCATCAGGTCTTTGCAAACTTAATAAAGATGCCCATAATTGCTGGCAGCAATTCGAGCTGTATCATTTATCTTACAAATCGCAACACTGTGTGCCCGCTGGATGATGGCCAGGTGCTTTAAAGCGATAGATATGATGGCCAGGTGCTTTAAAGCAATACTTCGGCAAAAAATCAAATGTACTCTGTTTCTCCCTCATCCCAGATGTAGTCGATGATCTAGGTCATGACTGGCATCTAAAGTTTGTTTCTTTAGATGTGTAGCTAAGCTTATATTTAACAATTAGCATCATGCTAACTACATGTCTAAATCATCACATACTTGGCAAAATTCTGGCTACAACTGGTTTAGCTGTGCAGAGACCCTTTATTTATTTCATTTCCATTTAGTACAACATGTGCTGTTTGAGTTAAACTGCATTTTAGAGCAAAATGAATTACTTCCTTCATCCTCTGCTGGCTGCTGTTGGGGGCTTGTCTCTAAAACGCAAGCAGGAGTTGCAGTCTATTTCTGCATGCCTCAATTTTAATGTGTGCACGACTATGGGAGTGACACAAGCAGTTTCCTGCCTCATATCAACAATATCATTGGACGACGCTCAGCTCTTTTGTATAAAGAGAGAGCGGAGGCAGCAGGGTGAGCATCAGCTGTGGCTGCTGAGTCAGTCATTCGTGTACAGCTGTATCTTGTCATCTCTCTCCAAACAATGCAAATAAAGAAGGGGGGAAACACAGAGTATTTAGCATGACACAGCGTGCCTCACATATATGCTGCTAAAAATGTCAGCACCTCCAACTTCCTTCCCTTGTCTGTCGATGAATGTGTTTAGGATTACTCAGTTCCACTGGGGAACCCTCAAGGCCTTCTAGGCCTTCAGAAAAGGCCTAATGATTTCTGGGAACTAAAAGGTGCATGTCTGTCATTTTTAGTTGATTTATACTCAGCGGAATCATGCTTTGTACATATGTATTTAAACCCTGGAAGTATTAAGAATTAAAGTAAATTCTCTGGAGCATTTCACACAGTAGCTTGCGTTCCTTTGGGACAGTCTGATCATAATATGCCCACAATGCCGCCAGAGACTAAAGACCATAAGAAAGGGCACCAGGTAGGTGAATCAGTGGTCTCCACAAGCAGCAGAAATGCTCAATAACTGTTTAGGCACAACAAACTGGAATGTCTTTAGAGATGCATATCAGTAACATCATACATAGGCCCAATCCCATTTCACTCCTTGCCCCTACCACTTAGCCCTTAGCCCTCCATTTTGCACGTTCATGTCTAGGGGTAGGGTGTTCTGATCTTTGTTGAGATAGAGGGGTAGGGAGAGGTGTTACGGCTACATGGCCCTTTTACAGAGGCACTACTCCAAACGGAGTGTTATGAGGAAAAAAAGAAAAACTGGCAAGATGGCTGCATAAGCGACCGAAGAAACCTACAAAAGTAAATATTTTCTCCTCTCAAAAAATGACGATAACTATTGTATTGTTTTAGTCTAGTATCGTTTCAATGTAGTATGGTCTTTTTTGGTCTAGTAGTATGGTGATATCGCAGTAGCTAGCTAGCTACCCCTTCCACCTCAAATAGTCCAGCAGTTCTGAAGCCTGAAGCACCAGAATGTAACTGCTGCTTCATTTGAGGTGAAACAGGAACATTCGAACGAGACGCTGATGTAACTCAGTTCCAAGGGGCAAGGTGACACTCAAAAACAAGGGGTAAGGGGTAAAAATAAGAAATGGGATCAGGCCTTAGTCTTTTCACAGAATGTTTGCATCCCAACTAAGACGATAACTGTTTTTAGTAATAATAAGGCTTGATTTACTAAAGAGATTAAGATTTTATATAAGAATAGGTTGCGTTTAACAGTAGTGATAAAGAGCTACGCTCTTTAAAAAGATGGTTCCTTCAAGGGTTCGTTAGTAAAGAAAATGGTTCTATATAGAACCATGAACACTCAAAGAATCCTTCTTTGCATCTTGAAAGTGTTCTTAAGAATGTGCTGTAGATGGGTCTGTCTAGAACCTTTTCATAAAGGGTCAATATAGATGTACCTTTTCAAAAAGGTACTATATAGAACCATCCACAACACATTCTCCATCAATCTGAAAAACGCTTTGTGATGCAAACAACACTTTCATGGTTCTATATAGAACCATTGTCTTTACTAAAGAACCCTTGAAGAACCATCTTTTTTATAATTTAACATATTTTAATCAATCAATGAAAACATGTATGTCCCACTATGTTTTAAAATGTAACCATAGTCCCTGTTCCTAAAAGGTCTCGCGTAAACTGTTCCAGGGATCACAGACTTGTACCTCTTATGTCTGATATTATGCAACTTTTTGAAACACTTGAAAGATTTGTAGCCATCTATATGGTGTTGGCATACATACCAGTTTGCATATAAGGTTAACAGGTCTACTAAGGATGCAGTGTCACCCTGCTAACACTCTATTTTGCAACACTTGGAGGCACCAGGTACATCTGTGGATCTCATTTTGAGATTCTACCTCAGCATTTAATACAGTATTGCCTTTAAGGCTCTTTGATAAGCTTCAGAGGCTTGGTGCTCACCAGCCTTTGTGCTATGGGACTCTTGACTTTCTGTCAAATAGCAAACAGCTTGTTAAAATGAACAACGCCGTTTCCACTCTTCACATTTTCAAAACTAGTGCCCCCCAGGGCTGCGTTTTGTCTCCTCTATTATGCAACATTAGTGGGATTGGTATCTAACGCTGACACAGCATACAGAGATATGGTCAGAGCCTTAGTGGAGTGGAGCAGGATGAATAACTAAGCCTGAATATTGAAAAGACAAAGGAGTTTGTGATCGACTTTAGAAGACGGAACATGGAACTACGATCTCTGTCCCATTAGCGGTAAAGGGGTTTAGGTTCCTGGGAACAGTCATCAGCACATCTCTTTAGTGGGGGAGCATCAGTGCTGTCTCACTGAAGAAAGCTCATCAAAGGCTTTTGTTTATAGGACAGCTTTAGAAATTTGGTGTGACTAGAGACTGTGTGATACATTATCATAGAGCTAGTGCAGAAAGCATGTTGACCTTCTCCATATGTGTCTGGAATGGTAGAACAACACAATATGAAAGAGAGCAGCTAGAGAAAGTAGTGCATACTGCCTCCAAAATAATTGGTAGCGAACTTCCATCTGTTGCTTCTATATATGCCGGCAGGATGAAAAAGAAAGCGGTAGAAATCTCTGCAAATAGCTCATGGTACATTTTTACATTGCTCCCTTCAGGCACAAGGTTTCATAGCATCTCATGGAGAACATCTTGGCTTAGTAAAAGCACCTACCCTTTTACTATCAGACTTTTTAACCTTGTTGATTTTAATTTATTTTAATGTTTATGATACTTTATCACGAACATAAATATATGTCTATGAATGTATCCTGTTTGTGTGAATGAGTGTCACTGAAAGAGCTTACAGACTGATATGGCAATAAAGTATATAAGAAAGTCCCAGACTTAATACATAATAAGGCTTATTATTCAGTAACTATAAGGACTTCCATGCAAACTGGTTGAGCTATTCTTAGAACATAAAAACTTTGGGCCCACCGGCTGACCCTGGCCATTTAAGGGGTTAAGTTCAGGGTTAAATTCTTGAAATGCCCAGCGGCCAATCAGAAATTGTTTTTCTCCATGGTATCTTGACAGATATAGCAAAGTGAGCTCTCCTACTGGTTATGGCTTTAAGAGCTGAAGAGAAGGCCAAAGGTCACTGTGAAACTGCTACAATGTAAACTATCTGCCAACATGTCTATCACAAGTTTCAAGTAAAAAAAAAAGGAACGTCTTTTAAAAGCCTTAAATGTATGTGTTTAATCTATTCTGTCCCACCTTAAACAACGCAGCAGTTGCATTCTGGTGCCAATAAATTTTCCATTCCACCTTAAATGCTGCTGCAGTTACATAAATGCGCTAGAATGCAACTGCTGCACTGTTTAAGGTGGAATGGAAAATCGAATAATAACTTCAAGTCTCATCAGACAGTGCTCATGCATATTACCGTTAGCTTAGCGCTAATGAACTATCATTGATTTGGGATTTTTCGCTTATGTTTTGAGCGAATTTTGACATTTATGGTCACTCTTATAGTCACGGTTCACCACTGCTCAGATCGTGAGAGGCAGAAAGTGCAACCAATCAGACTGGAAAAATATCCCTGCAGAGATCCCAGCAAGTCTCCTGAAAGGAATAGAAGTTGTAACAAAGGCAAAGGTTGGCTAAACAATAAATTTGATATTCTATGTAGTTGATGAAGTTTAATATTCCTTTCAATATATTTTCTGACAATTGGAAAACGGTATTTGACCTTTATGTGGCACTGTGCATGCTGTCTAATCTACTTCTGCTTACCCCTTGACCAGCTCCACGACTATGAAGTCATTGCCGTCTCCGCTGTTGTAGAGGATCAGGCCGTCTGAGGAGGTGGTCTTGAACTGGAAGAAGAGGTACATTGAGTAGTAGGCCTGCAGCGTGGTCAGGGAAACGTAGCTGGAGCGCGACTTGAAGGTGACCGGGTCAGCAATGATGCTCTTGTAGCCAATCATGGCGTTCAGCTCGCAGTAGTCGATGTCACCGTTCTTGCACAAGTCGATGTAGGCCATGCCGTTGAAGACCAGGCTCTGCAGGTGACCAATGAAGTTTGATGGCACCATGGGCAGGTACCGCTTCTCTGTGATGATGCCCGTCTCAATGTTATGGAACTCCAGCTGGGTGTGGTCACCCGAAATCTGACCTTAGATTGGGACAGAAGATGAAAGCAGTGCTGACCAGGGTTACCAGCCCTATTTAGATTACTCTAATATTACTGTAGCAATAATGCAATAACACAACAAAAAACATACAGTATCTCCAGCTTTACTGTAGTCACCAAATGTACTTTTCTAAAAAAGCCAAGGATGTGGTCTTCAATACAATTTAATGTTGTTTTTCAGTTTTCCATTATTTAAATGGTAAAAGAGCCGAATTAATATCTGTGAATTAGGGCAATTACAAGAGGTTTTTACTTAACTAAGTTTTTACTTAACTTCAGATAGTTTATATGAAAAAAACAAATAGCTTAGATGACATGAACAAAAATGTACAAGAAATTTTTCATCATATATTGTTAGATATATGTGTTGCCTATAAACGTTTGTACACTATAGTATGTGGCTGAAATATATATCTCATACTTGAAAATCTCAAGCAAGCTGGTGTTTTTGTCACATATATGTTCCTTAATGACAAATTTAAGTTGGATGTATATAAGGAAAATCCATATATGCCAATAAAAGTCAACTAAGTCCCACATATTAGATTTTGATATGGTTGCATTTTCCAACCCTGTCTCAGCCCCCCCCCATCCCTAAGTGTTGACTACTCTAAAGTATTTGAAGTGACATATCAGCATCAAGCTAACAGTGGTGTACATGGTGTACAGTTTAATATTACACAGCTCCAGCTTAAACAACAACTTTTGTAAGACCTGCATGTAATATACTTTTACTTGTCTGTTGCAGTTTTCAGTGAATTCTTCAGTAAATACTTAAACTTAAAGCCACAATGTATTATTTAAAAAGCCCAGTAGCCTGTTAGCTTTTGAAAGACCAGATTTGTATTTTTGAAAAACTGACAGGAAACAAGTGATTTGTGAACTTTTTAAAGTGGAGTAATCTGGACATTTGGACTCAATGTACTAAATTCTGCTTTGCAGACTCATTCAAGCTTTTTTGTTTATTTTGTTAAAAGTAGAATCTAATGTGTATTTAGGAGTGACAGTAGATGATATTCTCTGAATTTGGGGATAATATTGTTTTTGATATTTATTTTATGTAATATTAATCTATGTAATATGTAATATACAACCCCATTTCCAAAAAAGTTGGGACGCTGTGCACAATGTAAATATAAATAGAATGCACTGTTATGCAAATCATGTAAACCATATTTGTAAAGGAAATACTACAAAGACAACATATCAAATTTTGAAACTGAGAAATTTTATTGGCTTCTGAAAAATATTTGCTCGGTTTGAATTTGATGCTAAAAACACGTTCCAAAAAAGTTGGGATGGGGGCATGATTACCACTGTGTTTCATCACCTCTTCCTTTAACAGCACTGTAAGCGTTTGGGAACTGAGGAGACAATGCTGTAGTTGAAGTGAAATGTTTTCCCATTCTTGTTTGATATAGGATTTGAGCTGCTCAACAGTTCGGGGGCTCATTTGTTGTATATTTCATAACCCTCCAAATGTTTTCATTGTACTATTTTCAATTAAATGAAGGGTTTAAATGATTTGCACATCATTGCAGTTTGTTTTTACTTACACTTTGCACAGGGTCCCAACTTTTTTGGAAATGAGGTTGTAGCTTACATAATGTTTTCTGGCTTTGACCTTTGTTCATTCTAGATATAAAACCAATGTATATGCTTTGTGATAAAAAGCTCTTTGTTTATTATTCTGACACTACAATTATTATGAAAATTCTTTAATATTTCAGGAGCTATTGATGCATAAGTCCAGGTTCTCTTTTCACACATTCTCACATTTCATGCGTCTAAGTAAAATGCCCACTATTATACTGGACACTAAATATTACGTGTTTCCTAGTATGAACAAAAATCACATATTATTTAGTTCATAGCAGAAAACACTTTGTTTCTAAAGTGTCCAGTCTTGGGACTGAGAAGGATAAAACACTTCTAATTTGCTATTCTTTGTGAAACTTAACAGGTTTCAAATCAAAAGAAGCTACATTGCTGTATAAAAAATATAATAAAATAAAAATCTACTGTTGAGCAGAGCTGTAGAAGATTCTAAAACGACAGAAAAGCTGTAGAACAATATGAATAAAATTATTTTAAAAAGTGTTGATCAAATCTCATACCAGTATTTATGTAGTTCACCCTACATAAATAATTCCTTTATATTATTAAGTACAACTTCTTGTTCCCAAAATATGTGAAATATTGAATAATACATATAATACTTGAATAATACGTTTATAACATTTAAGTCTACATCACATATTGTTGTATACAAAAAAATGACAAACTTATGAATGGTAGTGTGTTTAAAAGATGCTACTTACTATTTTTTTAATATCTAGGTTTGTCTTTTTTATTAACGACTAAAACTCGCAATAAACACTGACACTCTAACGCAGATACTTATGATGTTGACCAAAGAAGTGCTCACACATCAGCTCTACTGTTCTTAATTAGAACAGCTGATACTAGATAATCAATAATCTTTCATCCGTAGACAGATATATAACAAGCTATCCAGCAGCACCTTATAGTACAAGCCTTAAGTATGAAAGCAAGCAGTAACATCAGTTTCAAATAACTTTATACAATTAGGTCAAGTTGCCATCAACCAACAAAAGTTTAAAAAATATGCAGCACTGCGCGAAGGTCCGACACCACCTTTTATTTATTTAATTAGTCAAAACAGCCACATATAGAGTATAAGTTATTAATTTTTCAGGAGATGTTTCTGAGGAGAGTAGATATAACATAATGCACTTGCATAAGGAAGGAGAAAATCGAAGGAAAATAAGTGAAAAAGCAGGAGTTTCCAAATTGGGAGTTAAAAAGTGGGACTGCTACCAATTATGTAACCAACTTCTAAGACTGAACTTTACAGGTGTGTAAAAATATCCTTCAGGTTTATTTGAAAAACTGAAAGCAAGCCAGAAAAGAATAGAAGATGAAATAAAGGCAAAGGGTGGACACACTAAATACTAAAAAAGTTGACATTATATTTCGTTATTGAGGCTTCTGGGTCATTTTCAGTTAAATGTATGCTTTCTGCTTTTTCCTGATGCTAAAAATGAATAACTTATATAATATAACTATTTTATAGCTGTTTTGATTGGGAATTAAATATTTAAGGGGGGTCTTACCTTTGCAGAGTACTGCACTTTAACTGACTACATTTTTCCAGAATATTTCCAGTCGAGCAGTTTTTAATCCTCCTAATTGAGTTCATTAGTCGTGCTTTATTATCATTTTCATGTTTGTGCTTCCAAGCTTTTGGTCTGTAGTGTGAGTTCCGACCTAATTAGCTTGACAGTTTCCTGGAGATTACAATGTTTACACAGCAGGTAAACTGTTAATATAACTTTTGACAGTTCAGCTAAGTGACTGTGAGAGGCAACTTAGCAGAAACCACACACTTGCCTAGAACCTGTGAAGTCAGTTTGTGAACTTTTCCTACTGTCAATGAACAGAAGTGTGGAATTCCGCAGGTGCAAACAGTGTGAAGCCGATGTTTGTGTGCAGAGAGAAAAGAAAACTTCCCCAAAAACACCCTTAAATGCAATTTCGCCAGTGCTTTTAAACTTCAATGGAAGCCTGAATGCTTCTTCATTAATTACTCACTCCGCACACTTGAAAAGGCTCGATTTGTCTGCTGTCAGATTAATCTTTTATGGCAGCACTGGATTTGGTTCTAAAAGTAGCGCTAAGCTGCCACTGAATTTAAGCCATGCAGTCTTGTGTATAAGACTTTTATGTGAGTGTTTACAGCCCACCTAAATGGCTATGACTTGGACTTTTGAGCCTCATTCGACGGTGCTCTGAGGCAGACCGTGAAAGGTTTTGAACAGCATGATTTGTCGAACCAACAAATTTACTTTTGGAAATTGGAGTTTCTGCTTCTTTCAGTAATTTTTTTCCTTAAAATTAACTTTGGGTGCTGCTGAGTCTTTTAAACAAATTTAGTTTTCAATGAAATCTCTAGCAGAAAACTTTTCATGACTCAAAATAGAGACATAATAAATGCCAATGGGCAGTCGCTTCAGCACCTTCTCACTGGCTTCTATTATAAGTGAGTTTCAAGGCAACAGCGTATCTTTGTTTGGCTAAGTGAAAAGAAACACATTGATATCACTGTCTGGGGCAAACGACTGTATGCGACAGATACAGCACATAGAGACTAGACTGAAAACCACTTGAGTATTCTTTGCTTCCTAGAATGCATAAAGAGGGTCAAACTGACCTGACAGCAGGGGCGATCTTTGCACCAAAGATAGGCAGCTGCCTCCCCTCCAAGGCCCCCCATGCAAATGCAAATTAGACATACTGTATGTGTTGATGCTAAATAATCTATTCCAACATACACCGACTGGCTACTTCATTAAATACACCTCCTTGTTTCTACACTCACTGTCACTTACCATATAGGAGCACTTTGTAGTTCTTCAACTACAGACTGTAGTCCATCTGCTTCTCTGTATACTTGTTAGCCCCCTTTCACCCTGTTCTTCAATGGTCAGGACCCCCACAGGACCACCACAGAACAGGTATTATTTGGATGGTGAATCATCCTCAGCATCGCAGTTACACTAATGTGGTGGTGTGTTAGCGTGTGTTGTGCTGGTCTGAGTGGATCAGACACAGCAGTGCTGCTGGAGTTTTTAAACACCTCAGTGTCACTGCTGGACTGAGAATAGTCCATCAACCAAAAATATCCAGCCAACAGCGTCCTGTGACCACTGATGAAAGATTAGAGGATGACCAACACAAACTGTGCAGCAACAGATGAGCTATCATCTCTGACTTTACATCTACAAGGTGGACTGACAAGGTAGGAGTGTCTAATAGAGTGGACAGTGAGTGGACACAGTGTTTAAAAACACCAGCAGCACTGCTGTGTCTGATCCACTCGTACCAGCACAACACACACTAACACACCACCACCATGTCAGTGTTACTGCAGTGCTGAGAATGATCCATCACCCAAATAGTACCTGTTCTGTGAGGGTCCATGGGAACACTGACCACTGAAGAACAGGGTAAAAGGGGGCTAACAAAGGATGCAGAGAAACAGATGGACAGTCTGTGACTGTAGAACTACAAAGTGCATCTTTATAGTAAGTGGAGCTGATATAATGGACAAATGAGTGTAGAAACAAGGAGGTGGACTTAATGAAGCAGCCGGTCAGTGTATATTAATAGATGCTATTTGTAATTGATTTATTATTATTTTTACTATTCTTATTCTGTTTCTTCTTCTTCTTATTATTATTATTATTATTATATTTGCCCACTTACATTGAAGTTATAAGGACTGTTTCAGCCTGCTTTTTGAACGAGGCAGCTATTCAGTACAGTGTATTTTTTTCACCATAAGTTTTGTCAGTTAGAATATTTTATTCCTTGGCATTCTAGGAATTAATAAAAAAGTTCATACTCAATACTTAAAAGTTAGTCATTCAAGAAAGGTAACAAATATATATTTTTTTTTCATCATTTGAAATCAGTGTTGAAATAAACTTGCACTGAAATTGGCCAGTCTTGACTTGGGACTTACCTGTGCTCACTTGTGGCATGAATTGGAACTTGCCTGTCTCAACTTAGGAATTGCCATTCTTGACTTTGGACTTGGACTGGGACTTGCCTGTCTTAACTACAGACTTGAATTGGGACTTGCCTGTCTTAACTTGGGATTTGAAATCTGAATTGCTTGTCTTAATTTGGGACTTGAATCAGAACTTGCTTGTCTTGACTTGGGACTTGAATCAGAACTTGCTTGTCTTGATTTGGGATTGGATCTGAGACTTACTTGTCACTCGACACAGTGACGTCAATTACCATCTATGAACGTCCTTATTTCATTTAAGGAATAGCGCTTTTACGTGAGCAATGATTTGGGCTACTCACTACTAAAATAAGGGGTGAAAACGTACAGAAACATGAGGTGGGATACCTTCCATCGGTGTCTGCTCATCCACAGTAAGCGTCAGACTCTTCCCTCTCCTCATGACCCGCACCGTGTGCCACTCATTATCATTCAGATTTTGCCCCGCGAAAAGGGTCTCGGGCCCCTTGCCTGCGGGACAGTCCAGACACGGGTTAACACACACCCCCAAGCAAAGAGGAAGGGAGAGAGTCAAGGAGAACATAACAGCAACACTGAAGACAAAAAGCAAGTTAGTCATATTCAAACATACATAAAGTTACACAAAAATCTGACTCAATGCTTGGACCCCTTAACTGACTTTCGATAGCATTTGACTTATCATCACCTCACGGTTATCTGCTGACAGTACATATGAACTAGAGGGTAATGAGTCTGTTCCATGCTTCTGAGAGAGAAGCTTACAGCATAATGGTGGGTGGCTGAATTGTCTTCTACAGGTCAAATGAATGACAAAGATAAAAAAAAGTTCTATCTTTAGAAATGTTCATTTGTGACTTCGCCTATTCAAGTGCCCGTCTTAAACCTCCTGAACGTTAAGCTCCCTGTGGAGTACAGGTCAGCAGTATCAGTATTTTCTGCTCCTGTGCAGTATTTCAGAATTTGAAAGGCATGTACGGGAGCCCATTTTTGCCAAGAAGACGAAAGAAAAATTACCTGTTTATTGTCTCCTTCTCTATTTCTGGTAGCAGTATGTCAAAACTCTGACTTAGTATATCAAATTAATGACAATTTCAGAAAATATTGCCTTGTATATAATACATTTTTTTAAATACTGACTTAGTATGTTAAATGAATGACTTATTTTCTCAAGATTTTGAGATACTATGTAAAAATAACGAGTTAGAATTGAAACACAAGTTAAATAGTAAGTCATTATTTCCTTTCTACTTTTGAAAAAAAAAGTCATAAAGTCAATATTCTGACAAAATGTGTTAATTATTCTGACCTAGTAAATCAACGTTTCGAGAAAAAAATATTTTGACACATTGCTGCAAAAACATTGAAGAGAGAAAAAACATGAGTGAATTTTTCTTGTCTAGCTGGCAGAAACCATCTTCCATAGTCGTGTTATGAGAGAGAGAGAGAGATAGAGAGAGGGAGAGAGAGAGAGAGAGAGAGACAGAGAGAGAGAGAGAGAGACAGAGAGAGGGGGAAATCTAGAATTCACAGACTGGACGGTGTAGTACCACCATTCGCCACTTGATGGCAGTGCAATGTAACAGTAATTCATCCGCAGCTTCTCTAGGCTCAATTCCGGGAGTCAGCCTTGTACAAACACTCCATATTGTTTATTCATATCCTTAGTGCTGGATTTCTCCTCTCTCAGAGACATGAATTATGAATGATGTGCCAACATAATGATATTTTTCTCTGTCGAGTAGAAAGTGCCAGATTTTTTTTTCTCCCCATCTGAGGACACAGGCTGCGTGAGGCATGCAAACGCGGCGACACTAATGCACTGTTAAGAGGAAAAAGAAATGTGAACCTAAACGGTGAATGCAATTTTGGTGGGGCCTCAGGCTTCTTTCGGGTTAGCATGGCTAGCGCTTAGCTCTGGGTGCTGCCTTGCTGATTCACGTTCATTCAGAAACTTAATGGTCTTTGAGAATTTCCTTCCGGTGGTTTCTTTCTCACTCAGTTACTGCACTTAGGGCTACGCGCAGGCTAACATATGTAATCTAGCACAGCATCTAAAGAGTCTGCGAGCATGGGACATGTATATTTACAGGCTCTGAATCTGGGTTGCATCGGTTCCCTAAAGGCTCGGCAGTATAATGATCGTTATTATTTGGTAGAGTGGTGCTATTCACGCTACTGTATAATGATGGTCACTGTGTTACAGCATTTTCAGGAAAAAAACATGCCCTGAACTGGGTTTGGAGAGAGAAAAAGGGGGCAAATTGATGTCAACTTCCCTCTTTGACCCGTCATCCCATTAGCGAGGGAGACAGACTTTGACGCCAATGATGCGACTGGACACGTACCTCGGTGGAGCGGTCTGCCAAGTTTAGAGGCTCTCTTTTCCCCTGGCACAGGGAAAGGGAACAGCACGCAGACCTGACTGACATGGAAAGCCATTTACAGTCCCCCCGTGAGTGGGTCTAGCACAGGAAAGCAGGAGAACGCCAAAACGGGACCAGATGTTCTCATTTTAAGAAAGATATGGCAAAGGAGTGTGCGTGGTGTCTTGAGAACGGGAGCGAACTACATGCTTGGCATCTTAAGAGTGAAGTGGGCAAAGTGTTCACGCTCGCTGAATCCGTTCTGTCTGCTATTGATCATTTTCAGACAGGTGTACAGGACAGCATCCTGTACATAAGAGGGCTTATCTTGTTTTCCAACACGGTTCTACAAAAGTACCTGTTGTAGCAGGAAGCAATATTGCTAACGCTACAATACTGCCAACATGTCACACCTGGTAGAGTTACAGAACATCAGGTTAAGAGATTGTGTCGCTCAAAAATGCTAACTTGGCTAACAATAAACAAAAGCCACAGGAGACTGCTTAGCATGATCTCACTTGCTTAAGACTAGCAGGCTCAGATAGCTTCTCGGTATTTGCACACTACGTCACACCTGCCAATCACAACAATGTAAGAGGAATGTCATTCAAAGGTGCTACCATGGCTAAAGATGAACAAAGCCCCAGGAGTCTGGTTAGCATGGTTTGCACAAGAATAGCAGTCCCACACTATAAACAGCATTAGTGCTTTGCAATATTGCTAACATTTCACACAGAGTATAACATTAAAATAATATATAGACAATAACGCTAACACAGCTAACAGTAAACGAAAGCCATTAGAAACCAATTAGCATGATCTCATTTGCATAAGACTAGTACTACCAGATAGCTTTTGACTATAAACAGCATTAGCATTTAGCGACAACATGCCACATCTGGCATAGTGTTAAGAAGGTTAATGTTAAAGATTTCGATCAAGAAAGCTAACTGGTTAGCATGATTTCTTTTGCACAATACTAACTGTCATATAACTCTGGTTCCATAAACAGCTCTATCATTTTGTGACACTACCAAAGTCACAAATACGTCAATCAAAAATGCAAACATAGTTAGCAGTACATTAAAGCCACCAGAGACTACTTAGCATGATCTCATTTGCATGTTAAAACTAGCTTTCTGGCTTTCATGCTATAAAAAATGGTGAAGTATAGGTTGAGGCATCCCTTTAGCGTTCCACAGAGTTCTGCCTCATGTGGCCCAAATGAAGCTCAGGATCGATTGCTCTCAGCGTGAGCAGGCGCCACTAAATGACCGCGCTCCAACTAGCCACTATCTCTTCCTGAAATGTGTGAAAGCGAGCAGAGAGCAAGGAGGCAGGACCGGGGGGAGCAGAAGCCGGCCCAATCTCCTCCAAATACGTGCCTCCGGCTGTCCAAAGTCCCACCGGCTTCTCCAAGTACACAGAACATGCATCACTGTGATGCTCAAAATCCCGTTAGACATCTCACGCCCTCGCTGGGCTTACTCCAGTCAACATGTTAATGGCTATTTACTTCCCTTTGCTTTTATTTTTTTCCCACTCTTCTTCTTCTTCTTCCAGCCCTTTCCATGGCACAAATGCAATGTATATGCAAATCCCCCCTCAGAGCTCAACGATGGAATGCACTCAATCTCACGGGGGCTGTTTTTTGCCATGTAAGCAATAAACAGCAGAGGATAGGTCGAGCGCAGACAAATGCAAAAATGATTAAGAGGGTAGAACGCCGAAAAAAAATACGGCTGGTTGGAACCTGTGAAAGTGCAAGACAGCTGTCATTTGAAGCAAAGCCTTCCAGGGGGGTTCAATTCGGTGACTCATTCTGGTGCAAACTCGGCGAGGGAGGGGGGATGTCGAAGCAGAGTAGAGTTAGTGAGGCTGCTTTAATCAGAAAAAACACAACGCAACGCAATCTAAATCTAAAGACCGTTCTGGCCTGAAGCTAAGAGATAGCTATGAAGCCTGACTGCTACTTCATCAAAGTGCAGGAAAAAAAACATGCCTTATAAAACAGAGATGAATCACCTGTCAACATTTAATCTCAATTTTCTTCTTAGTACATGTACTACACCTCTGGAAGCACTCCGTTTATATGTAAGCTGATGGCAGAATCATTTGTTTTTGGGAAATCCTGTGCTTTGCAGTCATTTTTTTGAGTTTGAATGCCCACTGAGGTCACACTTTCTGGTTCAGAAAAATGTGCCCACTTTTCTTTTCGCTCCATGTATCAGAGAACAGGAAACGATGTATAAGCTTCGATCAATAAAATATCAGAATTTGAAATTTCTCCCCAGAGCCAAGCGCTCAAAGCAAACAATTCAGGCCTCCAGATTCCCTGGAGAGCACAGAGTCGACACAACCCGTGTGCCGGTGGAAGAAAAGCGAAGGGAGGCAAGCCGTCTGTCTGGAAGCGTGTATTTTTAGAGTCGTCACGTCGCTTGTTAACAGCGTTTAAGCCGAACGGTGTTTAAGCTGAAGTGGCAGAGTTTCCCTCCAGCGGGGCAGGGACGCCCCAGGGAGTGTGGGGTCCTAATTGACAGTGATGTGTTCTTGAGTCTGCGTTCAAAATTTTCCTGTACCACCCTGCCGGGCGAGCATTGCAGCGGCTGACAAAGCACATTAATTAGAGTGTAACTGCGCCCTCCAGTTTCAACCATTCACCACAACATTCTGCTTTTTTGGGAAGCAGCTTGGGAAAAAGGGAAGATTTGTGGGTCAGGTTATTAGCGCTGGAGTGGAAGAACAACAACATCGTTTGAGGCTGATGTAGAGCACTGGTCCACCTATGAACCAACAGTGAGGACAAATGGGCAAAATGCACTATGGCCAAAAGTGTGTGGACATCCCGCTTTATTATTGAGCTCTGGTGTTTCAGCCACAGGTGTATAAAATCAAGCACAGTCATTCAATCTCTGTGAACAAACACTGGCAGTAGAATGGGTCTGTCACAGGACACCACTTCTCAGTTCATCAGTTTTTTAAATTTCTGCCTTGCTAGATCTGCCCCAGACAACTGTAAGTGCTATTGTTATGAAATGGAACAACAGTTCAGCCACAAAGTGTAGACCACAGAGAGGGCACAGCAAGCATTTAAGCAAGTAGCACATATAAATCATCTATCGCTGATCAACATCACTCACTACAGAGTTCTAAACTGCCTTTGGAAGCAACATCAGCTCAAGAACTGTGCATTGGCAGCTTCAAGAAAAGGGTTTCCATGGCCAAGCAGCTGGATACAAGCCACTTTTGACTGAATAGACACAAATTCTCATAGACACACTCCAAAATCTTGTGGAAGTCCTTCCCAGAAGAGTGGAGGCTGTTAAAGCCGTGAAGGGGGCAAATCCATTTAAATGCCCATGGTTTTGGAATGGGATGTCTAACAATCTCATACAGGTGTGATGGTTAGGTGTCTACATACTAGTGTAGCACTGTTCAGATTTTTCCTTAGCTTAGTCATCAGAGGTTGAGATTTATTATGTTTGTTTTGCTGTATGTTACAACTGGTTGAGGTACACAACGAATTATATTTACATTTGGCCATTCGGCCAGCAACAAATAAGCTGCGAGTGTGGCGCAGAGAAAAACCCATTAGTAATTATTACAAGCTGCAAAACACACAAAGCTGTATAACATCCAGTAAATTACTTACGCACAAAATCAAACTGATTTTTTCCCCAAAAAAACTGTTTTGGGCTTTTTAACCTGGGTTGGGGCATGCCTCCGCATTTGATTTGGCTTTAATTCGATTTCAGTTGACTTGTAGATGTCTTGTAGATTAAGTAGGTAATAACATAATGCTGACACAGATAAAAATATTGTTGATACAGGTAAAAAGTAGCAAAGCCAAGCTGCTTCGCTGTGTCTTATTTTGGTTTTTTTTTGGCTTGGCTGCAATACTGGGCACTTGTCTGTCGACAGTGACGTCACATGAGCCGATGCTCATTATGTGGTGCCCTGTGCAAGTTCACATGATTTTGTTGAGCCTAAAAATACAGAAAATATTTACTTCTATTTTGCAACACTGAAATGTTTTTTTGTGTGGCTGTGTGTATTGAGGTATGATGGGTTTGAAGGCCGTTCTGCCACCGTGACACAGAGTGTTGCGTGGACATGTGCTTCACCAGTGGAGCGGATTATGACAAATGCAGGTGGGAGTGAACAATGACCATAGGCAAAGTCCAAAGCGGGAGGGTGTGGGTGGGCATGGTGTATGGTTGAAGGGGTATGGGCAAAAATGTCACTAAGTTTTGCAGGTAACCGTGGGCAAGAATGACATTAGATTTTGCGGACGCAGGCGGACGTGATTAGTGGTTGAATCGGGCTGGTGTGGGCATTAATAAACAGGCCTGTGCAGACCTCTACAATTCCAGTCAAAAATGAGCCAGACAAACTTTAAATACATCAAATTTAGCAACATTTTTGCACCTAACAGATGGGAACCATCTAGCAGCTTTCATGTGTTTTGCAATAACTAAGCCTTTCTTTGGCTTATAGTTACTCTTTAAAGCTAGTCAGACTGCAAGAGACTTGTTCTCAAAATATGTTTATAAGAGCCTCTCTCGCTAACAGTCTAATATAAACATGACCTTGGGCCAAGAGAATTATCGCTGCCATGAAAATAGTCCTTGTGTATCCCATTGTGCGATGATGTGCATTTATTTCCCCTGCTGCTAATGTGGGTGCTTGTGAGCTGAAGGCTGGGGGAAGAATCTTTTTCCGGGGTGAGCCACTAGCATTGATTAGTGAAGGCCGCACAAAGAAAATGGGTCATCTAAGGGAAAAGATTGTTCGTGTCTTCGCTTCAGAGCCAAGGAGCGATAAAATGAAAGAGGGGAAAGAAAAGAGAGAGAGATAGAGAGAAAAGAAAAAGGGTACAGGCGGCGGTTGTTGAGTCACTGGCTATGAAAAACACAGTGAATCATTTGTGACCCCTGAGAAATCATTTATTCATTAGTGGACTCAATAATGGATGGACAGGCCAACTCCTCGCTTTTCCCCTCCCTCGTTTTATCCCCCTCACTCTCTACCTTCAGCCCCTTTTCCCTCCTTTTTTCTGCTGCTGTTCACTACCTCTGCACCTTGTCTCTTCCTCTCTTGCCCCACCTCTCTCTCTCTCTGTGCTCCACAAGGCAGGTTAATGAGAATAATAAAACCCTACTCCATATTTTCTTTCTGCTTCTCATCGGTTTTCAAGCGGCTTGACAGAATGAGGGAAGGAAAGAAACAGGAACGTCTGTATGTTAGCATGGCTAAAATAGCTCTGTTTAGCATGCTAGGCGTGGTCTGTTTGGAGTCACTCTGAGCTGAGAAGCCTCACAGTTTGATCATTAGCAACAGAAGGGCTGTGAAGACTCGACGGCCGCCATGTTTGAGCCTCGTCATTCAACTCCTCTCGCTACTATCCCCACCCACCATTAGCGTCGGGCTAATGAGGCCCGTACCCATCTGCCTGCGGGACCCTGAAGCCGTTTTTACTGGCCCAGACGTAATTAAAGGTGATAACTCAGACTTTACAAGTGCTCATCTTTAAACCTCAATCACAGCCAAAGCTCACTTTCAACATGGATTAATCAAAAATGGCTAAGGCAGAGCTAACACATCATTCTAACTTCAAAATACAGAACAGTTTTCTTATACACAGCAATTCTGTTAGCAAAACACAGACATTTCATCTTTTACATTCAGCACACATTGCTTGATATATGGTAAAGAATAAAAAGAATAGGGCTGCACGATATATAGCTTGAGAATCAATATTAGCTCTTACAATATAGATACTGCAGAAGGCTGCAATGTGTAGATTAGCTCTCTAACCAATCACAATGCATTGATTTCAGTTTTATAGGTGTTTTGAGGAATCAAACCACGCAAGAAATCCAAAATAAATTAACTCATTTTGGTCAAAATGATACAGGCCACATTTAGCCATGTCACATTATTGGTTCACATATCTAGAATCATAATCTTAATATGTAGCAATATAATCTTAATGTGTAGCAATATACTTTCAATATGAAGCATTTTAATTTCAACATGTAGCAATGTAATCATGATATGCTGCATTACGATCAATATGTAGCAATTTAATCTCAACATGCAGCATTATAATCTCAATATGTAGCAATATAATCGCAATATGTAGAATTATAATCTAAATATGTAGAATTATAATTTTAAATTGTAGTAATATAATTGCAATGTGTAGCATTATGATCTAAATATATAACAATATATTCTTAACATATAGCAATACAATTGCAATATGTAGCATTACAATTTCAATATGTAGTAATATGATCGCAATTTGTGGCATTTTAATCTTAGTATGTAGCAATAAAATCGCAATATGCAGAATTATAATCTCAATATCTAGCAATACAATCTCAATATGTAGCATTATAATTTCAATATGTAGCATTATAATTTCAATATGTAGCATTATAATCTCAATATGTAGAAATATAATTGCAATGTGTAGCAATGTAATTTCAATTTGTATCAATATCACAATACATAGCATTATAATCTCAATATGTAGCAACATATTCGCAGTATGTAGCATTATAATTGCAAAATGTAGCATTATATTCTAAACATGTAGCAATACAATCACAATATGTAGTGCTATCATCTCAATATATAGTGATATAATCACAATGTTTGTATTTTCTCCATATCGTGCAGCCCTAGTAAAGAAGAAACAGGAACAGTCACTTACTGGTGGTACAGTTAATCCTGATACAGTCTAGATGGGGGAGAACACATGAGATGTAAATTCAGTCTTCAAGGTTACATCTGCAGACATCCATTAAAGCACACAGCCCACCCCTCTGGGGACAACCACGCTGACACCAGTGCCATTCTCAATGCTCTCCTCCATGCCACCTGTCTATTCAGCCGTCTGCTCTGGCCTGTACTCTCTAAACGACAATAGCAGCCAAAATTGGTGACATTTTTAAAGAGGCCAGAATAATTTGTCTGCTCAATTTTTAAAGAAATATTGGCCATGCTATAGAGTTAGCCTTACACAGCTATCAAAAACAGTATGAACGTATAGAACATTTTTGCAGGGCAGAAATTAGCTAGTTTCGACACTTATGGCATGGGTAATATTGACCCTTTTCCACTGCCAGAACCAAATCCTGTACCATTCTTTACCAGATTTTTGTTTCTTATATCAGTAAAAGCATTTGGTTTCAAGAAATGCTGTAAAATTGAGCTGCTCAACTTGCTAGCATGGTAGCCAACAGTTCAGTGAGTTTTTTTAAGCTGGTTAGCTAGGAATATAATTTTAGCAGCACTTACTAATCTTTGTATGCTTGCTAGGACCATGAACATTACAGTCTAAGTATTAAATGTCAATAACTAAATTAGCTAACCAGGTAGGTTTCCAGAGTGATTAGCCATTAGCTACAGGCAACCGTAAGGCAGCACAAAAAAGATGCTACCACAACCATGGCAAGACCACAGCTAAAGAAATGTCTGAAAGACGTTATACACCCATTATGGACTGCAATAGTAAATACATGAGAAACAATTGGATTTCTATATTAAAAAAATACACAGAGTTCTTGTTCTTGGTATATCAGTATCTTGTCCAACGTCTATGGTAAGAATGGTGCTGAAAGTGGAAAAAGAACTACTGGAGAGCATTGGGATGTGACCTTGGTATGGCTGAGCCACTTGAAAGGTAACTGTCCTCAGTTAATGTCTCTTTATTATTGCCTTATTAGAAACCACTACAAGGGACCACTCCTTGACCGTCCTCTCAAAGCCTGTGAGATAGCGGAAACCTTGCTAGGTCAACATGGAGAAAGGTAGCAATCAGCTGTCTTACAGTGGAGGACGAAGCATGCTCATGTCAAGAATGATACCTTGTTTGGTAGACTTCACAGCACCTCCTCAACAGATCATTTAACTCAACTAGTCTAAAAAACTTAAAAACAAAAGTACAAAAAGGAGTTCTTTGGAGTAATGCTTTAGAAAAACCACTAAAGAGCCCTCCAAAGGATCATTTTTGTAAATAAGATGTACAAGTGTGAAGAACGTTTGTCAAGTTGAAAGATCCTCCACATGATGTAAAGGATCTACACCAATTAGAACCATATGTCCAAGCCAAGAACCATTGTTTTTATAAGAGTAGCCAATGTGCTTCTTGCGAACAGATGAAATTACTTTGTCTAGTATTAGGTTATTACTATATATTACTATTCTGTTACTATATTAATACTGTTTGCCCAGCACCATTCGCTGATGTAGTAATACTGCATTTAATACTAGCAATAGATCTAGACCCCATTTCACAAAATAACCACAAAAAACAATAAGGGCCGATTTAGCAACTGGCCACAAAGGTGAACCAAAAACTGAAATCCTACAGAAGAAGCTATGACTTAGGATCTAGTATGCATCTAAACTGAAATGGCCATGGGCCAAATTGTTCATTAAATTTAGAAGCCTTATAACTAGTATGTTCTTTCAAATGTTATATTTAGCATGATGCTACTTTAAAACATAGTCTCATTAAAGCCCCATTTAATGGCATTACTCTAGATTAACTCTCATCCGACTGACATATTTTGCATTCAGAAATGACCAATTAGAGTCCCTGGAGACCCAATGTTGAGCTCTGATAGAAACTCTGTGAGATAAAGGTTAAATTTAAACATCACATGCTGCAGGATACCCGTCTCAGCATTCTAATGCCCTTGCTCCTTTGGGCCTATGCTGCTATAACTACTTTAGCTTTAATACTAATACCACTACTTTTAGGCTATTAACCCAAACAGCGACTTGGATCTCTCAAATCGCATCCAAGCGCGAGTGCTCCCTACGTTCAAATGCCCCAAAGCCAAAACAACCCCTTCAAATATCCTGTATACTTCCAATAAACCATAAAATCCCCACACAGTCAGATGCCCACTACACTCAACCAACTTGCAACTCTGACATCAACTCTCAAAACCCCCCACTTCATGTTTTAATACTCCTGTCCCTTTAGGCAACAGCTTAAACCACAAGTTCTTGTATAAAAACTATATTTTTGTATCTTATGCTGACAGTTAAGAATTTTTAAACTTTCCCTTATAAAATTACCATATTACAGATTGGAGATTTCGAAAAAAAATTCTGCTCCTAATGCTAATAGCATAAAATAGCTACACCAAAAATGCATTTTGTTACCACAGGACTAATATCCCTTTGCTAGAATTAACTAGCAAAAACATTTACCTTTAAAATTTACCTTTACAGCTTGAAAAGATAAAGACTCGCCCCTTCTGTAGTTACATTAATCTACTTTTAACACACATGGCATTGCAGATAATTACTGTGCCATCGATAAAAACAACTGAAACGACTGAAGAATAATTCCACAAGAGTGTAAAATTCAGAATAATGAGGGCTTTGGGGAATTGAAAAAGTTTCAAAATCGCTTCTTGGTGGAATTTGTAATCAGCACTGTAGTTTGTTTTTGGGAAATGGGGTCATGGGAGATATTAAGCAAGATCCAATAGTTCCATTACCATCAAAAATAAATAAATCTACACTGCTTTGATAATTTATGAACATCTATTATGAATTTGCCACTGTTATATCAAAACTTTTTCAACAAAATTTTGTTATGAATGGACCAGGGCATAGCTAAGGGGGGGCCTGGGGGGGGTCTATGCTCTCTCACATGGAAATTAGGCAAGAAGACAAGAAAAAGTCTACTAATGGCAAACAAAACATTACAAAATCTTGCCTTGTGCTCTTATCACACAGGATGAATTCAAGTTTTCCACCTTAAACAAATGAAAGTGTTTGCCAAAGCTCTCCCTAAATATCCAATATCCGGTGTCCACTATCATGGCAATGTCTACCAGGCTTTTCGCTTGTTTTCTCTAATAAGTCACAAAACGATGCTTGTTTTCAGGTAATGAAGCATTTTTCTACTCGACTGTTTCTGCTCATTGTGGGAACTCAGCTGAACTGTCCTAGTTCCTACAGGCTGCTTGCTTAGCTACTGAGCTAAGCAGTAAAGTTGAGTGTGTTAAAGAAACCAAAGTGTAGTACTACAGGAGAGACAAGTCTTCAACCATTCAGCCAAGACTTCCAGGCCTTGTCATTTCTTTCTCTTTTGGGCCTTAATGCTTTCTAGTTGGCCCCCTCAACTTATAACTAGGCCTCCATAAAATTAAATACTGTCTATGCCACTTGAATACACCAATAGAAATGGTCCAAAATTAATGAGACCATATTACTTTCTTCTCCTCTAAAGTAACCATTCTGGAGGTAAGAGATTTTGTTATAACAGCAACAAAATTAACATCATATAATCTTCATTTTCTATAAAAATGTAAAAATCAAACAGAAATGAAACCCTGCTCTGGTTAAGCTTTGCTCTGTTGCTGTTGCTGGTATGTTCTGTTGAGGACTGTGCTGCTGAGACTCAAACAGTTAAAGCCAGTTTACCCTTCAGCATGGCAACAGCCTGTCGCATGTCGTCAACCTCAGCAGAAAAGTGGTCACAAACAGCCAAAGAGCAGCGTCGCGTTCTTTTCTCTGGGAGAATGCTCTGTCTGAAGTGGGCTTCTGGGAAACATTAAAGATTTCCTACAGACCTACTACATTTTTCTTGCATTTGACTTTTTTCTTGTGATGTTTGGGGTTTGGGTTTATGTAATTAATTTTGATGACCATTTTCGAACCTCTCTATTTCCCTCATTTGACAGAAATGTATCTGCATCGTGCCTCATTCAAAAAGCAGGACGGACAGAAACACTCCACATAACTTTGGCATGAATGGGCGGAGCTAAACTGCTGTAGGCTGAATATATAAATATCAAATCAGGCACTTTTTGCTCCTTAACTTTCATATATGGACTGTGTGGGCTTAAATTTTTAACAATGTCTACACAGACATTACAATCCCATGATATAGGCCTTTTTAAGTAATCACCAAGAAGGAATTGCAAAGATAAGGCACTGCAAAGCTCCAGAGCGCTTTTGTGTGTGAGAATCTTTCTGTAGTCAACAGCAGAGCAATGAGGCCTTTCGTGTGCAAGGTGAAAAGCATCCATTTTTGGACTCCTTCTGCCGAGCTGATAAAAAGAAAATAAGAGGTGGCTGTGACGCTTCATTTGTAAGGTAGCTTTTTTGTCTTTTTATGAGGTCGCTATCCTTTCATTCTTTTTTTGCGTTCATTTTGCAACCCAAAATAATTTAAACCGCAGACAAAACATAAAGAGAGCGGCTCGTCTTGTGAGTTGTCTTGTAGCTCCTCTACACACAGGCAGAGAGGCCTTGCGTTAATTGGGCTCTGGAGAGCCATCGCTCTGACCTTTCTTCCTGTTATCTAGATAACTCCGATATATCAGACTGCAGGGAAAATGTTTGAAAGGCAGATGCCGCAATGGCTCAGAGCGGACAGGTGCAAACAAGAGGAGATACTACGCTACCAGTTAGACCACCAGTGTTCGATTAGGGTGGTAAGGGAGAAGAGATGAATAAAAGTATGTGCGGTACTGTGCAAAAATCTGAGACCACCCTTCATTATTTAACTTCCAGTCAAAACAGCCATTAAGTACAAGAAATTCATTTTAAGCACTCTTTACCTTTATTACAGCTCCCATTCTTTCCAAGAGATATTTGTAGGGATAATTTTAATACCTCCAATGTTCAGTCTTAGAAGTTGGATGCACTTTTTGCTTTTTAAAATCTAGTAATCTTAATTACAAATTTAGACTAGTAAGGGCTTCTTGA